TCCCTGCTCCTTGGGAGCCTGCTTCTCCCTCTGCCTCTCTCTCTCTCTCTCTGTCTCTCATGAATAAATAAATAAAATCTTTAAAAAAAAAAAATAGCCTTTACCATATCTCTAAGTAAGTATAAATCTTACTGCCAACAAAACTATTACTCATTTAACTTTCTGAGTTCGTAATTGTTTTAATCAATTAAATTATTTTTCTGCTGGGTCTGAATTCAGTAAACTTGAAATATAGTTAACTGTAATGAATTGCCTTGGTAGAACTGCTTCTTTCATTTTATCAACAAACATTTATTAAGCACTTACTGTATAAACTGTGGTCCCTACGCTGTTTGCCTGTATCAAAACAGATCAGTAAGCAAACAGGCAATGTAAAAAAGGTATGAGAGACCTCACTGGCCTTATCTGCACCATGAAAAGGTTGGACCAGGTGAACCATCCACTCAGATCTAAAATGTGGCTGAATCATTCTGTATACATCTCTGTTTGTTAAGCTTTGACCAAGTTTGTGATTCATTTCCAAAAGTGCTTGTTTGTACAGATGAGCCAAAACACACATATTAAAGATGCAGTTTGTGGACCACTATATTAAAGAAATTACCCAATGTTAGTGATATCCAGCCCAATGGAAAGAACAACATGTAACTGAATCTTTAAATTCTTGACCTGCCCAAGAAGTATTTTACCTTAGCAGTGTTCCTTTAGGTGTCCAACTTTGGACAACTGTGTTCAGTCTGAATCATTTAATAACCAAAGCAAGCAGAATAATGACTGAAGATATAGAAAGCTCAGAACACCACGCAAACACCTCCCCCCTCCAGTGACTATTTAAGGAAGAATCAGGAAAGTAAGTTCATTTTAGAGTTCTTAGAAAAAGCTTAATATTTATAAAGAATCAAGTGTGACTTTCTAACTACATCTCATTGTGGCTTTGACGAATCAGGGTAATTCTCAATGAAGCTTAAGGTCCCAGCTAAGAATTTTACTTCATGCTTGCTTGCTCTCAGATGTGGGCAAGTATCTGGTGATCTCAGAATTATGTTACTTTAGATTCAGAAGATAACACAAGTTGGAGGTCTAGATTCTAATTCATAAACAAAAGGTAAAATAAAGGATATTAGATGGAAAACTTCCTGCAGGCAGAGAGTTACCTTTGTGTGGCCCAATGCCTCTATCTCGGGTCTCTTGCACGTAGTTGTGTACCAGAACAAATCAGTAAGTGAACTTTGGGAAACCTTGAGCATTGTTCTTAGAGCAGATTTATAAACAAATCATTTCTTCAACACAAATAAATCCCTTCCATATGACTCTGTGCCCATGTACTTCCTATCATCTGTGTAGGTCACCGATATTCATTTATCTCCCCTTAATTTAGTTTTCGAGGCCAAAGACCAGGTCTCCACTTGCAGACCCATCACAGGGTCCAGCAGAGCCCCGGGCCCAGAATCAGGGCTTGACTCATGCAGACAGACTATGTTAATCACTATGTGATTAACAAGCATATTGATGGCACACGTCCTCTGTTCTACAGCAGGCCTGGCCTAGTGGGACCCAGCAAATCCTGCTTCCCCCGGCATGGCAGCAACTGACCGGAGTGGCCACCCACACGTCCGTGCAGCACGCGACTGTCATTCCCGAGACCATGGCAGGCACCCAGCAGTTGGCCGACTGGAGGTAAGTAGGAAAGGAGGTGTGTCTGGGACGGGAGGCGTGTCTACTACTCACCCAGAGAGCTGCTGGGTGGGCCTGTGCTGTCAATTCCGTGGTTTAGAAAGAACTTTTTTTTTTTTTTTAAAGATTTTATTTATTTATTTGAGAGAGAGAGAATGAGAGAGAGCAAGCACATGAGAGGGGGGAGGG